AGAGGGTGTGTGGCCGTAGACGTTCTTTTATGGTGCTAAGGGAGGCTATTGGGACGGAGAATGACGTTTATATAAGGGGCAAACCCCAAATTTAGGGTTTTCTCTAAATAGCTCGGACTCACCGAATCAACCCGTCGACTCGCCGATTCGGTCCCGTTCCGCGTTTCATGATCTCACGACCCTACTCGACGAGTTGACCTCCCAACTCGCCGAGTCCATGCATAAGTCTTTTCAAATCCAAACCAGGTGTTACAATATATATATATATATATATATATATATATATATATATATATATATATATATATATATATATATATATATATATATTTAAAAAAATCCTTATACGTTAATCATATATGCAAAAAAAATTCATACTTTGTTGGTGATCGGTTTACTTGGTAAAAATGTCAAATTGCAAACTATTACCTGTTTTTCAGACTTACTTGAATAAAAAATATATATAATGACTAAATTGAATATGAATCCAAAATGTAAGGACATTTCTGAAAATTTCTCTTAATAAAACTGCCACCCTCCTTTGTCAAAAAAATAAAAATAATAAAATAAAATAAACTATTAAAAAAACAAACGTTAATCGTAACATATTTTAATTACCAAGAATGAGTGTATTGGCCAACATAGTGATAACATATGCTATATCTAATTTGGTATTGTTCACTAGAACGTGAGCCTTCCATTGATTTTACCTGATACTTGAATAATACTCTTTTTAACAGAAACTAATAAGATTAAACATAATGGGTAAAAGATACAATCATACAATCACTGAATTCAAAGGTAACTGCACAGAATGTTGTATTTAGACTATTTGAAGAAATATCTACTGTAGAAGCATAATGGGTAAATTCGTGAAATATGTGCGTAAGGATATCTTCATTATAGCTAAGATTGACTTCGATGACGAAATCTAATTCAAGTGAGGGAGAATTGTAACATCCGAGTGCCAATTATGTTTTTCCACTATATAATTGAGGATTTTATCGTCCATAAGAAAGTAGAAGGATGGGGTGAAGTACTAAGCCATTTATCGTATTTGCTAAAAAGTTCAGAAGTAATCGCAAAAGCGCGAAGCGCCTCTTAATGAGCCTAACATGCTTCTGGCCTAGAGGGTTGTACGGTTTATCAGGGTTTTAGGGCTATTTAAACACACTTAGGTGTTGTTTGTCTTTTCTGAGACAAAATGTTTACAGTCTGCGGACCACATCTATAGACCTCTACAGTAGAAGAGGTGGACCAAACGTCTGCAGTCTGAAATAAGAAGATTTTTTGGTTTTTAACGCCTGCATGTTGTTAATTAATGTTTTATAAAATTTGACACAAAAAATATAAGACAATATTAGGATTTTTTATATCTATATAAACAGCTTCAACAACCATTATTGTAATTAAATCTTTATTTATAAATTTTTCAAAAATGTTATGTTTGTATCCTCAACCTTTTTTTTTTCTTGAAGTATTGATTTTTTTTCCAAATTTTTTGTCACAGATAAATTTGGAATAAATCCAAGTTAAAAAAACAAAGATATATGTGTGTGTTTTTAGGCTAGAAGATGTCTGAAGACTCTGGTTCACATATGCCCCAAGAAGAGGATGCACAAACTTTTTTAGGTCTGCAGTCTTAAAAAAACAGTCTGTGAAGGCTAATGGTTGCGTGTGATCTATGTGGTGCAGACAGAAGAAGATAAGAAGATATGCAGACAAAAAAACACCACCTTAAGCCTCTAGGGTTGGATCATTTGCAACCTCCATCATCTTTATAGAGTGTTCCTAGAAGCCCTAGACCATCTCCTCCCATTTTAAGCTTGGTTTCACCTTGAGAGCTTATCTTTATTTAATTTGTGAATGAAGCTTGAAGATCAAGATTTCATTTAGAGAATTGAAGTGAAGAGCAAGTGTAGATCTAACAAATTTTCACCTTTCTTGGACCTTTGTGAGTATAAATCTTCAAGCTTTCTTTCTTGTTTGCTAGATCTTGCTTATTGTCCATTTTATACACTTTTTGTCCCATTTTGGTGGTGAGCTTAGGGTTTAGATGACTCCAGCTCCTTTTGAATAATTAGAGTTGTTATATAGACTATTGGACTTGGAAAATTTGTATCTCATGCATGTTCTCTAAACCATGAAAGTTGTGTTGATATTTTAGGACTTTTTGATGTTTAATGTTTAGATCTTGTTGGATTGGAGTGTCTTAATGGATAAAGTTGGAAACTTTATCCATTAATAAAATGTTCATGAAGACCAGATCTGGAAGTTTGGGGGATGAACTTAATGGAATAAGTCATTTTGCCTTAAGAATATGGCTTGGTCACGACGCACCTTCTGAATTATCTGGAACGCGCCTGTTTAAACTGAGAAACCCTACTGTTTTGTCATTAAATGGGCGAAAGGCATCCTTATCAGGCGCAGGGCGCTTGTTTGACCAAGTTGTTGACTTTTTGACCTTTGTAGTACCAGCCTTTATGTTTCCTAGGAGTTGTGGTGTTTATCCATTTTGACTGGGAGGTGAGTTTGCTCACTATACTATGATTGGATACAATATGTCATTTTATGATTGTTATCTTTGTGACTCTTGCTAGTATGTCTATATGTTGGTCGGGTGGGGCCCGTTATTATGCTATGTTAGGCGGGGCTTATTATTCAGGATGTGATCCAATACTCAGGGTAGAGCCCATTATTTATGATGGGGTCCATTATACATGGTGGGGCCTATTACTTGTGTTATATTTGGTATCTTGGGGAACTCACTAAGTTGTGTGTTTACGGTTTAAGTTTTAAATATTTCAGGTAATTCTAGTAGCAAATGGAAGAGTCAGGCCTAATTGCATCGCATCAACCAAAGATTCTGAACTATCCATTTTGTATGATTTCACTATGATAATTTATTGAAACTATATACTCATGATTTGAATATTGTTCGTTTGGAACGATATCGGATGGTTTTACTTTATGTTAAAAATGAAAATTTTACTCTATATTTTGGGATGTTACATGCATACATTGCATCTTACTTATTTGGGATTGATTTTGTTTTACCCCTTTTGTATATTTTGGGACTTACTTTTCTCTTTTTGGAAATATAAATGTTTTAAGAAACCCTTATGGATATATGAAACCCTTCTGTTATGTTTGGATTTTGAACTCAAGTCGGTATATATGATTTTTGGATGTTTTGGAAACATTGGATTTTTTTTAAACTGGGTTTCTATACTGTTGTAGCTCACATGAGCATTTATTTGTTTAACTACTTCTATTTTCGATTTTAATCATTGAAAGGTACTACTCGAGGTATACTCACTTGGTATTGTTTATATGACAGTGAAGTTTGTATGGAAATTGTCATAAATGACAATGTTCTTTGTTAAAAGATATGTTTTTGCCCCAAATTGATAATTAATGGTTTTGTTGTTTTGAGAAGATACAGGTTGTGCATTGGTGTATGAACCAAAGTGTTCATTCATACAGTATCTATAATGTCTAACCAGGGGATCGTACTCATTAGGCTCCTCATAACTTAACACTTGTTTATAAACTTTTGTAGGTTAGTAGATATTGTAAGAAGCTTACAAGACTTTTAAGCTTTGGATATTTAGAAGACCTTTGGTTCGCAATGTTTTATTAAACCTTGTTCTGATATCTGTTGTGACACTCTCGCATGAAATGTGACTGTTAATCCACTAAATGTTTGGAAAATTTTAATTAGAACCATTATTCGCATTTGAACTCTGTAAAATATTTTAAATTAAACTTTGGGATCATTTTTCCGCAAACTAAACTCTGAAATTATTTTAAAGGATTTTATTAAATGTTATTTCATATAGGCATATGTGAGGGGTGTTACAAAAATGTGATGTGCCCTTGACATAACATAGAATACGCTTGACTGTAAATGAAATGTCAAGACGAGTGATGGTAAAATACCGGAGAATACCCGTCACGAAGCGATATAAAGAAGGGTCATTAAATGGATTCCCAATGCATTGTAACTGCTGACCAGAAAACCATGGGTGTTGTTATAGGCTTGCATTCGTTCAGTGCGACCATTTTTTGAGACGGTGCATATACGCATGAAGATAGAAAATAGTATAATATTAATGTAAGGTAATACAATTTGTTAGACATAAATAGTATAAAAACAATTAATTTTTAGAAGAAAAAACAAACTATGTTCAAAATAAATATTCTGTGACCGGCAACGAATTAATGTAATATAATACAATCTGTTAGAAAGAAAAAAAATATACTAAGATAATAAGATATTATTAAAAAATTAAAAATAATATATATTTAAAAAAAAAATCCTTACATGTTAATCATATATGCAAAAAAATCATTATATTTTGTTGGTGATCGGTTTACTAGGTAAAAGTATCAAATTGCAAATTATTACCAGTTTTTGAAACTTACTTGAATAAAAAATATATATAAATATTAAGTTGATTATGAATCCAAAATATAATGACATTTTTGAAAATTTCTCTTAATAAAACTGCCACCCTCCTTTGTCAAAATAATAATAATAATAATAAAATCTGAAAAAAAAAACAAACATTAATCATAACATATCTTAATAACCAATTAACACCATTCCAATATTCATAGCCAAGAGTGAGTGTATTGCCCAACATAGTGATAAACTATATTTAGTTTGGTATTGTTCACTAGAACGTGAGCCTTCCATTGATTTTACCTGATATTTGAATAATACTCTTTTTAACAAAAACTAATCAAGATTAAACATAATGGGCAAAAGATACAATCATACAATCACAGAATCAAAGGTAATTGCACAGAATGTTGTATTTATGACTATTTTAAGAAATATCTACTGTAGAAGCATAGTCATAAATGCAGATGACTTTTTCAATATTAATTAAAAGGATTGAATAGGGACAAATTCATACATGCAGATTAAAGTGGTTCTTATCTGTGTGCAATTTGGACATACTACGATTTATGCATGTATTGAATAATTGAACTCAAGATGTTACGTTTTCTGTCCTTGAAGAGACTCGTGCTTGCAGAGGGTTTTTCATGACAATGGTGAACTCCACCTTCTCAGAGAGATCAACATGATAACCATCAGGAGGACTCCAATGGAAATACCAAATCAAATTGGCAACAAAATATTCCAAATGAAGCAGAGCCAAATCAGAGCCTGGACATATCCTTCTTCCTGCACCAAATGGCATCATCTTTATCCCTTTGCTTCCAGTTATATCGAAATCACCATTGATGAACCTCTCTGGTTTGAACTCCATGGGATCATCCCAGACCGTTGGATCCAAACCCATCTCAGCCACCATGAAATTAATGGTGGCACCCTGTGGAATCGTAAACCCTTGCACCTCCATCTCCTTTGTGACCCTATGGGGCAACACGAAATGCCCTGGTGGATGTCTCCTCAACGCTTCCAGAACCACCGCTTTCAGGTATGGCATCTTCTTTAAGTCCTCTTCGTTTATAACAGATTCTGGTTCTACCCCTGGTGGCGGCGGTGGAGATGGTGATCCGACGACTGAAATGATTTCATTATATAGCTTGCTCTGAATTTCAGGATGCTTCACGAGATTGGCCATGATCCATTGTAGAGCAGTAGAGGTGGTGTCTGTGCCGGCGTTAAGAAACTCGCCACACATACTCACCATCTCCTTCTGAGTCAGCTTTCCGCCATTTTCATTGTTGGCTTCTTCCTCTGGAAGCTGTATATTTACCAGTGTGTCGACATACGCCACGATTCGTTCGTCTCCAACTGATTGTGGTTCGGAATTAGCACTTTCGATTCGAGATTTAATATGTGGAATCAGCACTTGTTCTTGATCTTCGCGTATTTGCAAGAGCTGTTTCCATCTGTTTCTAAACAATATCTTCCCTAATCTTGGAAAAATACCCAGTACGTTAAAACGCCCGGAGCCGACTAACAACAGCAACCGGCGCTGTACGGTTGCGATTTCATTGATACGATGCTCGTCAAGTTTCTCTCCAAAGCACATAAGTACCAACAGACAGAACATGGCGTATGTAAAATGATCAATCACCTTGATTCCGGCAGCCTCCTTCTGCTCCCGGAGGCGACCAAGAAGTATCTGAAGGACCCACTTGCGAGCCCAGGAGTAGGACTTCACACGGGAGGGGTGTAGGACTTCGGAGGCCAGATTTCGACGGAGGACCCTCCAAGTAGGGCCGTAGGCGGCTGAGGAGATGTTACGTACGGCGAGTGTTCTAGGGCGGTCGGAGAAGACAGCGCCCTTCTGAATGAGGACTTGGTGGGCGAGGGAGTGGTTTCCGACGAAGATGGAAGGACGAGAACCGATGGAAAGAGTGATGAGTGGTCCATACTTGGACTTGAATTTTCTGAGAATGGGTTCTAATTCCGAGAGGGAATTGGTTAGCAGTATGAAGTTGGAGGAGATGAGCGAGGGCCCTGGTGGTAGCTTCTTGTCGTCGGCGCCGCTCTGGCGGAAGAGAAGGGACCTGATAAGGGCGGCAACGCAGAGTGAAACGACGATGATGAACCACGTCTCCATGGTGGAAGAATGATAGTGAACGGTGGCAGGATGCGGGATATTTACGTCATATCATTAGTTTTCGTCCAAGTAAAGTGAAATGTCAATCTCATCCGTTCCTGAATATTGGGTATCTGTTACTCGCAAGATTTACCAAACTAGCCATGGTTGTTAAAAGAGTAGCACATGTTTTCTTACAAAAATAACGAAAACACATCATCTACCTACCGTTTACAGTGACAAATCATGCCAGAACTTTCTTTAGAGGATAGGGTGTGGGTACATCTCGTTCTCGTTGTGGCTGAGATGGATGCCAAAAAAAGCGTTGCAACGAGTACACCGCCCCCTTATCTCGTTGCTTCTCGTCGAGGGGGCATCTGGTTGTCGTTACAACCTACACCAACGAGTAGAAATCCGAACATTGCCCCTCTTTTCTAGCCGTTGACCTTTTCTAGCCATTGTCAACGGTCAAAAAAAAAAAAACAAAACAAAAAAAAAAATAATAACTTTTTTACCGTTTATATAAATACTACCTCAATTCAGTGCCGGCTCTACCCTTTGCAAAACTAAGCAACGCCTTAGGGCCTCGAATTTTAAAGCTTGTTTTGTTAATTATATATGTATATATACATATTTCTTGGCTTACAAAGACAAGTTGGAGCTTGGCCTCAGTGTTTTAAAAACCGGTTTGAACCGGCCGGTCGAACCGGTTGGACCGGGAACCGGAGGAGGGAGCGGTTCAACTATCATCGGTTTTACATTGATTTCGGAACCGGATTGAACCGGCCGGTTTTTAGAAAAACTCGGTTGAACCGGTCAAAATAAACCGGTTGAACTGGTTAAACCGAATAAAAACAATGAAAAAGAAATCATTTACATAATAAACTTTGGTGATTTTTTTTTCAAATCTATTTAGTTTTCTCTAAATAAAAACATATGATAAATGTTATAAAGTTTTTTTATGTGTTTATATTCATCTAAAACTATATTTTATTTCGGTATTATACTTTATTTTTCTTTTTAACGTATATGGATTAATGTAAAACATTAAAACTTATGATTATGTGTTATTTTAGTGTATTTGAATTCATCTACAATTTAATTTTATGTGTATTTTTAATGTTTGAACTTGTCAACATCAAATTCATGATATATATATATATATATATATATATATATATATATATATATATATATATATATGTGTGTGTGTGTGTGTGTGTGTGTGTGTGTGTGGGAAAATAGAAAAAAAAATTAAAAACATGAAAAATATAGAAACCGGTTCACCTGACGGTTGAACCGGAAACCGATCATCACACCGGTTCAACTAAAAAACCAGTTTTTAAAACATTGCTTCGCCTAGTGATAAAAATGTTGTTTTATAAAACTAACAGTCTTAAGTTTGAAACTGTTTGCTTACTTGAAGGGCCACAAATTTTTTTTTTGTTTAGATCCCCCAAATTGGTTGAGCTGCCCGTGCCTCAATTTAACCAAAATTTTCACCTCTTTCTCTCATTTTTTCTATATTTTATAAACTTTCTCTCAACAAAAAAAAAAGGATCAAACCTCAAACACTCCAACACAACCATCCATTGAAACGCAAACGGGAGGGAGAGGAAAAGCTATAGTGGTTGACATGGAAAATGAGGAAGCTCTATATTGGTGGACACCGGATGAAGAAAATGCTTTGGCGCAAGCATGGTGTGGTACTTCAAAAGACGAATGTGGCGGAAATAGGATGAAGAAATGTGCTTATTGGGAGGCGGTGTGCAAAAAATTTCACACTATATTGAAGAAAAACCATATCGCAATACGGACATGCTTAGTAGCAAATGGATTCAAATTAGCAACCAGTGCACAAAATTCAATGGTATTTACAACCGAATTAAGGCGCAACAACAAAGCGGAACCAACGACGTGGATTTGTTCAAAGCTGCAAAAGAACAATATCGGGTCGAGATGGGACATATGTTTGAGTTCGAGAAACCGTGGAAGCTCCCGCGATTTGATCCAATGTGGAATAAAACTACTACGTGGTAGTAAAATGTTTATGTATTAGGTTTAATTAATATTGTCTTTTAATGTTGTTTTTATTATAATCTTAATTTTAGTTTTTTAAAAATTATGTCTTTTTTTGTTTTTTTAATATTATGTTTATAAAAATATATTTTATTTAGATATTATGTTTTATTTAAAATATATTCTAGAAAAAAAATAAAAAGGAAACTCGAAAAAAAAAAGAAAAAAAATTATGACATGGAAAAAGGTTGGTGTTACATCTTGTTATAAAGTGGTGACCATTTTCCCACTTGGTGTTATAACACCATTGCTTATGTAACATGTGAGGTGACACCAATTTGGTGTCATGACTAGTTGCCCACACCCAATGATCTTATTAGATTCAAAAGGGGCATTTTTTAGACCATTTTCAACCCAAACACAACAACTAGAGAGGAAATAGTGTTACATGTTGTGGCTTTGTGAGTTAGAAAGTGTGGTCATGACATGATCTGTATAATTAAATGTATAATCTTGTTTCGATAAGTTTCTTATTTCAGGGTTATGGACAATAAATAGATCAAATAAAGGCTTTAGGCTTCAAGGGAATAGAGTTTAGACCATATTGGATGTTAATAATATTGGTTATGCAATCTGAGCTATTGATTTGTATTTTGGAGTCAAAGGGTAAACGGGAAAAGTGATGTTTTGGGTATTTTGATACTCATGGTTTTTGTTGATTTGCTTTTATGGAAACAATGTTTTACCTAAATTAAAAATGAACATTTTGATTTTGTCACACCCCCAAACCAGAACGGCGGAAACGTTCGGGGGCGGAGGACGTCATGTCAAGTATCACAACACATGCATTATAGTAATCAAAGTACAAACAACCATTGCATTAATAAGTATAAGTTTTACATAAGTGTTTAAACATTACATATTCAAACATCAAAGTAGATATGGTAAAAGACAAAAGACGCAGCACGGTACTAGGTTGTCTTCTCAAAAGCTCTGGGAGTGTACCTGTCTACTAGATTCCTGAGAATACAAGTTATTTTGAAAGAGTAGATCGGCATTTAAGCTGGTGAGTTCAATAAGTATTTTAGTTATATAAAGTATACTCTAAATTCTTGGAAAAGTTCGCCTATTCCTCCAGAAAATCCTATACTTTCTGATGTGATAAAATGATAACCATAATAGTTCCCTCTGCAATTACTTAGTTTATACTAGTTATATATAACATAATATCGAACAGACAGTTAAATGTGTGAATCTGCCCTAAGCCCACAACCAAACAAGGAATAGGAAGTAAGGCGGAAGTCACACATTTCACTGCCAATCGGATATTACTTATATATAACTCTGATGTATAAACTAAGGAATTATAGAATTAACCATTAAAGGTCCTTTATGTTATACTAGTTTTGAGAAAGTGACTGATTACGTTCCAGAAAATCCTATATTTTCTGCTTTACAACTGATAAGTAGTTTTAATCCCATAAAACCGTTCTATTTAAGTATTATTGTACTTATAATAAAGTTTAACATAATTTTAACTATCCATAAAATTATAAGAAGAATGAATTCCTTTTTGTTGGTGAAAAGTAGTTTTAAATCCCCATAAAACCGTTCCGTAAAATAGTTTTAAATCCCCATTAAACCGTTCTGTAAAGTAGTTTTAAATCTCCATAAAACCGTTCTGTAAAGTAGTTTGAAATCCCCATAAAACCGTTCTGTAAAGTAGTTTTAAATCTCTATAAAACTGTTCTGTTTTGTTGGTGGAAAGTAATTAATACAGTAGTATTTCTTATAAATAAACTACTGAAGAATAACTACCCTAATATTAACCTGGTTAATTAGGGTTTAAAATGTGATAAAGTTATAACCATGCTGGACTAGAATGAACACGACAACCTACTGGTGTCGAAACTGAATATGTGACATTTTTCACCCCATGGCTGGTCTGCCGGACTGTAGCTAACAGTCGGGATGTGGGATTGTCAGTCCCATATAGATCTATACACACAATGCCCGCTCTCCCTCCAGGAGACTCTGGTTACAAGAATGTAACATAGCAAGTATTACTATGTACTGAATACATACCATCACATTTTAGTTTGAGTAAAGATCGAATTATATCCTTTTCTTGACAAAGTAGTTTAGACCTCGTATACTTATCTAGAAAATAGATTTCTCGTTTGTTTCATAAATTATACCTATTATAATTTATACATTCTATCTGATTAGCATGATCTATCCTGAAAGTACCCCTTTGCTCAGCATAATACAAAGGTAATGATACCGACTGAAATAACCTTTTATATTCCCATATGTATTATATATATAATTAAGAAAGAAACGGCCTTCGGACAAATAAACCCACCTTAAGCCCACATCCAGACAAGGAAAATGAAATAAGGCAACTCATTAGTCCTAAGTCCTTTAACTCTTATTTATATACCTATATATATATATATATATGAACATGATTTTGACAATTATAAGATAAAAGAGTTTATCATCACTAAAAGAGTTTAACAGTATTAAAAAGAGTCTACATGACTTTAAAGAGTTTACATGACTTAAAGTTATTATGGAAGTATTGGGTAATCCTTTATTGTAAAAATAAAGATTCAATGTATAAGGAAATATTTTATGTGATTGATATCACATGTATTTACTAACACAATTAGATTGTGTTCAACTTGTATTCCCCCCAAAAAAAACATTTAAAATCATTTAAAAGGTAGACTATAGGGGTATGAACTCACCTGATGTTGGAGATTTGATTGAAGATATGATATAGGATGTTTGGTATGCCAAGTGAAGTCCCGAGTACAAATGGAACCTAATTGGCATATATAGGCATATAATTAGTGTTTATAACTACTAATATGTAAGGGAGACAACTCTAGGAAGTAGGAAACACTTTCAGTGAAGTGTTAGAAGTGAAAGTGTGGGGTTGAAACTTGATCACGACCAAACAAGGAGGGTCCACGGTCCTTGGGTTGTTCATGGCC